AAAAATTATGTAAATTATTGTGTTAACTTTTGTGAACATATACATGTAGAACGGTTATCTATGTAAGGTATTTTATATGATCCACGTGATAATGGAGTGGAATATAATTAAAATTCAATTTACTGATACCTAACGGAATCAAATAACTACATAGGACTTCATAGACAAATCAAACACACACAAATTTTGTTTTCCTAAAGCGAGAACAATAAATTAATAGTCATTATTAGTTAGTTAGTAACACTTAATATCATTCTATAATTATAAATAACTATATAACAACAATAGTTCTATCTTCATTAGAATCATTAACGCGTATAGTCTATGTAAGATGCTCACTCTTATAATAACACAGTCTGTCCAGATGGTAATTACGGTGAACACTGCACGGAAACCTGTGATTGCGATAATGACAACACCGTGTCATGTGACTCTGTCAACGGGGCGTGCAATTGTTCCGAAGGATGGAGTGGAGTTAGATGCCAAGAAGACATTAATGAGTGCGATACTAACACGTGCCCGGATAACTCAAAATGTGTCAATACGGAAGGATCATTCTACTGCAAATGTGACGTAGGTTATTTCACGACCAGTGATGGAACTTGTCAAGGTAAAGATAACATAAACGAGATATAAACATAAAATGATGGCCAGATTAACAACAATTACAACAAAACGTTTTACTATCGTCCATATAAAACTTTCATTTATGTTCTCACGTATTATATGGCTATATAATAGTTTACTTATATAATGGCATACAAATGTTAAATTGTTATGCACATTTTATTTGCGTCTTAACATCTGCAGAAGCACGAGGAAGCATTTATTGCCCAAGCCTGCAGGTCGAGGGAGTTTATACGTGCGAGCTTCTGCAGATGTTAAAACACGATAAAAGGTATTAGCGCTTCTCTTGAATAAAAGCACATATCTTATTTGACTTTTCCGCCGCGTTTCGTTATTTGTTTCCGTAAAAGGAAACTATTTTTATGCTTTCCTCTTGCTAGAGCGACGTCATTTGTCAGTTCTATTAAGCTATTCTTAAATGGTGCCCTGAGTCACGCATTAAAAAACGTGCAAAAACAGCGGGTGTTCACGTGTTTTTGTTTTCTTCTGCAGTGTTTTTAAGATTTCTTACAAAAAAACGTTATTGGGTATTTGCTGCAACAATGTCTTATGTCTATCTGTATCAGAAAAATTATCAAACTTCAAGAAATACATAATAAAACAGTGAAAACAATATATTATATTGTAACGATCAGACCCATCATTTTACGTCCGAGAAAAACCTCGTATCCGGAAACAACTCAAGTACCGTTAAGTACAACTTTACTTTATAACATCGACATTCAATCATCATTATATACATAGTATGTACAGATACTTCATTCTTGTTATATTTGCGATGGTTGTGACGTCATTCTCCGATGACGATACCCCAAAGCTAGGCACCCTACGCCAAGCTAGCCAGCCAGCGTCCAAGACTATAAATAGCAGTCCGTTTCTGCCAGAATTGTCAGTACCTTGGTAGATAACCACCAGAGCACCTATAATCCACTGTTCTCTAATTATTGAATATGTATGTATCTCCAGCCACCAGAAAGGTATATAATACTTTATGCCAGTAATAGTTCATCATCGAAGCTTTATATTAAATTATCTAGTTTGGCATTATTTTCCATTTATGATACATCCTGACTGGAGACCAAGTTTCCATAGCCATAGTCCTATTTATATATGTCATACCAAATATACCAGGGTAGAACACCAGTGTATTTTGTAGTTACCATTTTAGATACCCATGAACCTTATAGCATTTCATGGTAATTCCTACCATAGAATTTGTACCAGACCACAGGCAAGACTTGACACCGTATTTGTGAAGCCTTTTATTTCATCTTATATTATATGATAATCTAGACGTAACAGAAGAATATTCCTGACCCAAAATGAGGAGCCCAAGCCAGTGCCATCTACAGAACATATAACATATGAATTTTATTGTTTGTGAAATGTATATTTAATAGATTGTTGTGTTTATCTTATTTCAGGTGTCCGTTTCTTTTAGTCCTTGTGTCCCTATTTTTCCTTATCCATTTACGTTTGTTTGAGAAGAACCCATGTGTCTATATTGAAGTGTGTCCGGGCTAGCAGACCCCGGGTACGTTTCAATATGTTGGGGTTATCATCATCCGCAAGTTATACTCCTGTTATTTATTTCTTGTTTTCGTTAAATCTTTAAGTAACTTTACTTTTATTTTCAGGTTGTCGACAGAATACATTTGGTTATGAGTGCAACAGCACGTGCGCCTGTACAATTGACAGCACACAGTTATGTAATGCTACAAACGGTTCGTGTAAATGTAAGACTGGTTGGCAAGGAGACACGTGCAGTGAAGATATTGACGAATGTGCAGCCGGAACGTTTGTTTGTCCAGAAAACTCCACGTGTGATAATACAGACGGCTCATACAAATGTAATTGTGTACCTGGATACGTTAAAACCGGTGGCGCATGTAGAGGTAATGTCAATAACTATAAACTGTAGAAGAAATGTCAATAACTATAAACATTGCAAAATAAGATACTAGTATTTTGAATGCAAATCACCATACAATTAGGAATGGAATGAGATGAAAAAATAAAATGACAACGATTTATATTAAAATAGGATGAATGAAGAATATTTATTTGATTAAATTAGAATGAATGCTAGCTATTCAAACAACACATCTAAGAGGTTCACACTTAAACAAACAACAAAATTAAAATATGAACAAATCACGACTCCTATTGATATAAACAAGACACTTTTTTTCAAAATGCACCTCGATTTCTATTTAAATAAATTGATTTTCAGAATGTGATGGCTTTTCATATGGACAAGACTGCGCTACGCCATGCGGGTGTAACTTTAATAACGCGCGATCATGTCATCACGTGACTGCAGAATGTTCTTGTAGACCAGGTTGGACAGGACAATTCTGCGTTGATGATATTGACGAATGCTCGGTTAATCCGTGCACAACCACTCATAAAACAGTTTGTGAAAACAGCTTTGGTTCCTATTCCTGCGGTTGTGTAGATGGCTTTGAACTTGCTGATAATGGAACATGCATTGGCAAGTATTGCTTTTTGTTTCAGAGAATTGTATAAGAATATCGCTTGAGAAAATAGTTCGTATTATATCCAAACTCCAAATTGATAAATGATATACTTAGCATTTTATTAAAACATTATGCAGTCAAATTTCTATTGCTAGTTATAACCTCATTATTGCCATTTACTGTTGCATGACAGTCTTCCAGTCGATTAATTGAAACTTGTTTTAAATTGAGTGAAAACAAATGATAACTTATCATGATTTTCATCTTAACACGAAAAGCATCTCAATGTGTCATTTACATTTACATCTACCTTGAGCATTATTGATACAACATATACTTGTGCCCTGTTATGTACCAGATATCTATGAATCCATGCACTTTCTTCCACCTAAAGGTATGTTTTACTAAGTCTTCAAATATTACAGATATCGACGAGTGTGATAAAGGCACCGATGATTGTTTACAGAGTTGCACCAATACCATTGGCTCCTTTAATTGTTCTTGTGATGTTGGTTATTCCGGAACAGGAAGTAACTGTACCAGTATGTGTTAGTTTTTATTAAATTTAAGGAAATTACTTTTCCATTTTAAGCTCGACTATTCGATACGAATAAGTAGAGCTATTGTAGTCATCCGAGCGCCGGCGTCGGCGCCGGTGTCGGCGTCAGCGTAACCACTTCTGTTAAAGTTTTTGTTATACCTCAAATATTTTTGATTTCCATTGACATATGGCTTTGAAACTTTGCACACTTGTTCATCATCATAACTCCAACCTTTAGACAGGAGGAGGTGACTGTATCAAGCATTTGGACAGAAAAATGCCCCTTTTTGACTTAGTATTTACGTTGAAGTTCTTCTGACCCCAACCCTTGTTCCAAGCACTGTGTTGAAGAAGAAGGAGGATACAGTTGTGTTTGTAATGAGAAAGGGTACCAGTTAGATACTGATAAGGCTACGTGTATCGGTGCGTCATTTACATATTTTGCCAAACTGGTTCATTAATTTCTCTCGTATTCATTTTTATTTCATCTATGAAGCTGTGGTCAGTGCACTCATTATGTACAAAATTATGAAAATATTGTGTTAACTTTTGTCAACATATACATGTAGAACGTTTATCTGTGTAAGGTATTTTATATGATCCACGTGATAGTGGAGTGGAATATAATTAAAATTCAATTTACTGATACCTAACGGAATCAAATAACTACATAGGACTACATAGACAAATCAAACACACATAAATATTGTTTTCCTAAAGCGAGAACAATAAATTAATCGTTATTATAAGTAAGTTAGTAATACTTAATATCATTCTATAATTATAAATAACTATATAAAAACGATAGTTCTGTTTTCATAAGAATCATTTACGCGTATAGTCTATGTAATATGCTCACTCTTATAATAACACAGTCTGTCCAGATGGTAATTACGGTGAACACTGCACGGAAACCTGTGATTGCGACAATGACAACACCGTGTCATGTGACTCTGTCAACGGGGCGTGCAATTGTTCCGAAGGATGGAGTGGAGTTAGATGCCAAGATGACATTAATGAGTGCGATACTAACACATGTCCGGATAACTCAAAATGTGTCAATACTGAAGGATCATTCTACTGCAAATGTGACGTAGGTTATTTTACGACCAGTGATGGAACTTGTCAAGGTAAAGTTAACATAAACGAGACATAAACAGAAAATGATGGCCAGATTAACACATTACAACAAAACGTCTTACTATCGTCCATATAAAACTTTCATTTATGTTCTCACGTATTATGATGGCTATACAAGTAGTTTACTTAATATGACAGTAGGCATAAAAATGTCAATTGTTATGCACCTTTTATCGTGCGTCTACATCTGCAGAAGCACGAGGAAGCATTTATTGCCCAAGCCTGCAGGTCGAGGGAGTTTTCGAAGGCTTCTGCAGGTGTTAAAACACGATAAAAGGCGCTACTCTTGAATAAAAGCACATATCTTATTTGACCTTTCCGCGTTTCGTTATCTGTTTCTGTAAAAAGGAAACTATTTTTATGTTTTCCTCTTGCTAGAACGACGACATTTGTCAGTTTTATTAAGCTATTCTTAAATGGTGCCCTGAGTCACGCATTAAAAAACGTGCAAAAACAGCGGGTGTTCACGTGTTTTTGTTTTCTTCTGCAGTGTTTTTAAGATTTCTTACAAAAATACGTTATTGGGCATTTGCTGCAACAATGTCTTATGTCTATCTGTATCAGAAAAATTATCAAACTGCAAGAAATACATAATAGAACAGTGAAAACAATATTTAGTTTTTATTAAAATTTAAGGAAATTACTTTTCCATTTTAAGCTTGACTATTCGATACGCATAAGTAGAGCTATTGTAGTCAACCGAGCGCCGGCGTCGGCGCCGGTGTCGGCGTAACCACTTATGTTAAAGTTTTTGTAATACCTCAAATATTTTCGATTTCCATTGACATATGGCTTTGAAACTTTGCACACTTGTTCATCATCATAACTCCAACCTGTAGACAGGAGGAGATTACTGTATCAAGCATTTTGACAGAATTATGCACTTTTTCGACTAAGTATTTACGTTAAAGTTCTTCTGACCCCAATCCTTGTTCCCAGCACTGTATTGAAGAAGATGGAGGATACAGTTGTGTTTGTAATGAGAAAGGGTACCAGTTAGATACTGATACCGCTACGTGTATCGGTGGGTCATTTACATATTTTGCCAAACTGGTTCAATAATTTCTCTTGTATTTATTTTTATTTCATCTATGCAGCTGTTGTCAGTGCACTCATTATGTACAAAATTATGTAAATTATTGTGTTAACTTTTGTGAACATATACATGTAGAACGTTTATATATGTAAGGTATTTTATATGTTCCACGTGATAGTGGAGTGGAATATAATTAAAATTCAATTTACTGATACCTAACGGAATCAAATAACTACATAGGACTACATAGACAAATCAAACACACATAAATATTGTTTTCCTAAAGCGAGAACAATAAATTAATCGTTATTATAAGTAAGTTAGTAATACTTAATATCATTCTATAATTATAAATAACTGTCTTTCCTTCACTCTTTACAATAACCTTAATAAAGGACCAATATAAAAACAAACTCATAAATGCTTTGCCGGACAAGCATGTAGACATTAAAAATAAAGGGCTTTACGTTCACGTAGCGTTTATAAGTGTCCGAGTCAATTAAAGAAGAAGCATCTTAGAAACCTCAAGTCGTCTAGACAAAGAATCCGCAACATAGCCATCTTTACTACTATCGGACTTCCACCGACCATGACGCTTCCAACACCTATCATTTACCCCGGCATTAGCAGCTACGGTAGCTCCACCGGATCTAAGCGAGTGCAAGCCAATATTTAAATTACCCGTAAAAGGACGTAACCTTTCTAAAATGCACTCTCTAGCCCTTGTATAACTTAACGGCTTATTCTTGTAAATCAATTTACAATTATTTCCTGATCTAAAACAAGGTCTAAATAAAAACTTTTCATCAGAAACATCTTGTTCAGTAATTAACAAATAACGTTTTAACATGTTAAAAGGACATGCAACGGTTTTGCCTTTGGAAATAACAACTTCGCTACCTAAACGATATTGATCAGTTTTACATTTTGAAATTTTAAGAGACATATAATCTTCAAAAAATTTAACATCATTACATTTCAGTGAACTAAGTTCATCAAATCTCAGAAAACCCGAAAAACCTAAAAGAATCATACATAAATCTCTTGTAATTAAAATATCTCTTGAATTTTCAAATTCGTTACAAATGCTTATCAATACTTCTGCATTTAAAGGCTCCTTTTTGTTAACTACTTTAACGTGAGTTCGTTTCGCAGATTCTAATAAATTTTTAACAAACAAATTGTCAGTGGGATCCGGAAGTCCCTTTAAACCATGTGCCCATTTAATGCTGTATACAGTCGCTGAAATAACACTAGCCGAATTCATTTTATCCAAAAGATCAGTCAAATACAGAGTTTCCTCCCTTTTCTTTGATGAAATTTTCCCACTTTTTAAAATATGACAAATATTTAACGTTTGTATTATCACTACGGGAATTCGATAGCTGTCCAGCCATTTTACGAGGTAAGTCACCAAAACCTTCTGGAGATACACCTGCCTCATATATGTTGTCGATGATAGCCTCTTCTATTTTCAAACCTGAAAAAATAAAACGAAATTAAACACCTGTTTCTATTCTTAACGCCATCAACCCAAATTTTAAAGGCCTCCCATCAAAAATACCGTTCCTACCCCTACCACGCCTAGTCAACACGCCAGGCTTGAACTGAAAACTGTCTTTAATAAACGAAGCATAATCTTTTCCGTTCGGAAATATTAACGGCCAATAATTTGCAGATCTCCAAATGGGAACAATCAGCGTACAAGTACACCTATCTGAAATAGCTTTTTCTATGCATTTAATGATAAGCCTAGGTGGTGGAACCAACCAATTCACATGGCCCGTCCATGTTTGTTTAAAAGCATTTATACCGCTTGTATTAGGACACCAAAATCTCGAATTAAAAGCCTGACACTTCGTATTAAAGTCACAAGCAAACCTATCAATAGAGTGGTGCCCCCATTTCTGTTCAAGTGCAAAAAATATCCAATCAAGCACCGCCCAGTCATCGCTATCAACAGCACCTGCTCA